TTTTTTTTTGTACCGGGGATTGAACTCGGGTCTTTGCGCTTGCAAGGCAGGCCACCAAACCGCTGAGCTAAATCCCCGGCCCTTATCTAGTATTTTACATAATGACCTTAATACAGTCAAATGGGGAAAATATGTGGGTATTTCAGGAATAGCTCAAGCCTCTTGATTAATATCACTTCTATCAGATGTGTTGGTGCTATCCTAATTTTGTTTTTGTTTACTGAAACATTTTGGACAAAGGAACTATAACACTGCGGCGACAATCTCAGTTTTTTGGGTTTTTTTTTAACTGTTGTGTAGTTTTTAGCTGCCTCAGAGAGAAAAACTGATAGAAGTCAGGGACAGGATATGCTGACAAGAAATTCCCTTCAATTTTCTCAAAGAAAAATGGTGGAGACAAATTACCCTTAGCCACTCTTAGAAACACACATTTAAACAGCTTTACCAGACAGAATAATAAATGGAAACAATATATTCATGTGATTATATCTAATCCTTACTAAACGGTAAAATTATTATTATTATTTATAATGATATATACTAGAGGACATTTTAAAAATTATGATAACAGCTTCTAACAGCTAGTACTTCTGTCATTTCAAATCTTGTCTGGTAATTTCTGTCAAGTATGTAATTTAAAAAGATCTAAATTTGCTTTTTGGCTACTTTCTGTTCTGCTTCGTTGAATTTAACATCGTATTGTATGTGTTCATTACATTTTGTGCCCAAAGTTACTTGGCCATAAAATACTTTCTGGCTGTGAACATCAGCGTGTCAGATTCAGGAAACAGATTTGATAAAACTGTTTAACTAAAAACCCCAATTAAGAAGGTCTTATTCAAATCGTTACCAATTTGAAAGTAGTTGTAATTTGTGAAGCACTCTATAAATTGTTTAGCATAATATAATTATCACAATAAATGCTGCACTTATTCAGAGTGAGTAGAACATAGGAATGTATTATAGTACTGTTTATTTTAGAAAGAAATCTCTATTTTAAAATGTCCAGGGGTTTATTTCTAGTAAGAGAGTTCATGCTTTATTTTTTATAAAGGAACTACTATGTTTGCCTTTTCCTAGATGAGTCAGAAAGAGAACTTTCATTTCGTTCTTGTTGTTGTTGTTGTTGTTAATGCTTTTCTGTGGACATTGGACCATGAAAGAAAAATTTCTCCATTAATAATTGGGAATCACAATATAAAAATTTCGAAGTCACTAGCCATATATGGCTTTTGAGCAATTGCTGTGAGGCTGGTATGACTGAAAAATGAATTTATAATTTTATTTACTTTTCACTAATTGAAATTTTAACTTAAATTGCCATAAATGGCTAGTGGCTATTGTGTCGAACAACCCAGATCTAGATCAAAAGTGTTTGATCTAGTTTCAACTATTTCCAGTAAGTTAAAAATTTTCTCATACCATTATTTTATCTAAGACACTATTAATTTTAGGTGAATTACTAGGAAAGGAAAGAACTGTCTATTTTATTGTGAAACAAGGTAAGAAGATTTTAAATTCTGCAAGAATTGCACACTCTGGCCTCACAAAACACTTATATTTTTCATCCCTTCTTGAGAAGTTGGCCACATTTGCTTGCAGTAGGATTTCTTGCTATGTAGTAGCGTATTAGAACAGAAATGAACAGATTTCATTTATCTAGGTTTTAATCCCGTTTTGAAATCGTTCTTCATTTCTTGGCAAGAATGTTTGGAACTGACTGCATCATTCTAGTAGTGTAATAAATAACATCCTTTTCTGACATCAAACTCTAGCTTAGTATTCTCTCTTATGTCGTTCTGTATTCATGCAGTCATTTTTGCTTCATTGATTATACCTAACAATCATTTCAAAGATTTTTGAAACATCATTAAACTCGTCCCTTTTCATACCAGCAGTGTTTATGATGCAGTTGAAGTGATAGGAAAAGAAGCAGCTTTGACCAGCCTGCTGCAAACATGGGCAGTTACATCTGTGAGAACTACCATCCAACAGCAATTATAAGACACCATCAGTTGGAAGACACAGCCTAAGTTCAAAGATGATGAAGTAATAAAAATATTTATCTTGTAAGCCATGAACTAAAATAGTATTGCTAGGAGATGGTGCACCTGCAGACCTCTGCCTTTACTGACCACAGTTGAGGGATAAGGCTGCGTTCTCGAACCTGGTCTTTTTGGCCAAGAATCCTCCTCTTAATAGATTATCACCTATTTTACTGTGTGATGCTGTTCTTTCTTCGGGCTTCTTTGAAACTACCAGAACCTTTTGCAACTTTCGTATGATCTCTCCAGGGCCTAGGAAATCATGGATGAGTTTTCTCATATGATGCTAATTCTCCACATGTTTTTAAACTGCTACAAGATTCCTGGAAAAAGAGCAACTGGATTGGGAATGACAATTTAGAAGATTGCACTGTGGAAGTAGTATTGAATTACAGTGATTTTTGTAAAATGTACCAGGGTTAAATAAGAGCTGGTGCTGAAGGTTGTGTGGAAAGGAGAGTGGAACGCATCAGCCATAGCATGGCCCTGTGAGGATGTGCCCAGAGCCAGAACCTCTGGAATCCAGGTCACGGGAAAGCTGCCCTGCTGGTGTTGGGGCTGTCATGCTGAGGATGTAGATTTTAGCAAATCAGAGTGCTCACAGATCATCAAACACTTGTGAATGAAGGAGTGATAGTCATTTTTAGGTTCTATAACATTATTCTGCTGACTTGCAAAAAATGAATTGGAATTTAAATAAAACTAAGGTCTAATATTTTGAGGCCCGTTCCATTTTTCACATGGGTGCCACAGTAGGGATAGAGGCTGAATTAGAAGCAGGAGGAATTGAAAACATTGGTGCCTTATAGTACTCAGGAATACTCAGGACATACGAAGTAATTAGAGGTGAACTTCCTATTCCCCCTGGAAAGGTGATGAAGTGGATGACATCATTATTTGACTTAAGAGGATGCAGAGGAAAAGAAAGTTTCAGGTGGGAAAATGATCAGCTAAAAATATGTCTTGTGGAGAAAATAGATAAAAGCGCATCTTCATTAAGTTTGGTTTTTAATTTTATCATGCTAGGAAGGGATTGCTACTGTGTTCTGTATAGCACATAGTAGGTGCTGGACAGACTAGAGTTCTGCAGAAATCTCAACCCAAGGAATGCAGTATTCTAAGCAAAGAACAGTCTTGTATAAAACTTTCAAAAACATGGGCATAATGCAGTAGTATAGACTTACTCATTTTTGTTTTGAGGTTAATGATGGATGACTCTCAGGATGCATTCCTGGAGACACACATTGCAGTAGTATTTCTTTGTGCGAGGTATTTCTCTGTCAGAAAGCACCCTGTGACATTTGGGAAGTGTTCCTTAGGTTCCCAGACACTTTCTCATTCAGAAAGCTTCTGCAGGGTTCCTGACAGAATTTGGTTGGGTCCTAGTAATTCTGTGTTTTTGTTTTTTGCTTTTTTCCTACTATATGGAATGAAACTTTTGATTTCACAAATTTATTTTTTAATAACCTGATTTAATCATCAAATTAAAAATGAGTTTCAAGTCTCAAAAGGACAAGAAATTGTAAAATGGGGTCTGAGCATTACCTTTAAAAAATAATCTGTAATATATATTTGAAAAGATTTAAATTACATTCAAATAAAAAAATAAGTTCATTAGTTTATACTAGTCCTTTAGAGATCTATTGTAAATTGCTAGCTAAAGATTTGGATAAAATAGTAATATGAAGAAGAGCTCTACTCATTCTCAGATTCATCTTCAGTGAAGTTCTAAATAATATTGATGATTAACACTGGAGATTTTATCAGTAAACTCTACACATCTTCGAATATAACTTAGTATGAGTAAATATAAAAGTATGTTGGATGTTATTAGCAGAAATTTCTTAAAAGCAAAGATTTGGAATTAACAATTTGTATATTTAAAATTAAGATCCATAAAAATTTGTATGATAAAAATAATTGTAAATAAGATCATAATGGTATAATTGACAATGTCAAATAGGAAGAATAGGACTAAAGGTGTGGGGAAAGTGGGAAGGATAGGGGAAAAGAAAAAAATATGAGAAAATGAAAAAATGGAAATAAAGTGTTTGTAAATGGGGAGGGGAGGAGGGGGTGAAGGGAGGGCAAAAATGATGGGGAAAAAATGAGAACCAAGACCTGTCAGGTAAAGGTACAAGATCCTAATGATGAATGTAACTGTACTGTGTACCTAAGATGTACCAATAAACTCAATGAGAAAAAAAAATTAAGAACATTTTCAACGCATAGCAAGATAAAAAAAAATAGCACTTCAGATTACTACGAACTAGTCGATAAGAGAAAAATGAGCGAAGGTGTGCCATTACATGTGTTTATTGAAAATTTTTGTCTTCTGTGTAGATAGCTATATTATAAATACCACATTGTGAGCATCTAAGGCATTGTTTTTTCATAGATTCTACTTTTAGTCCTGAATTTTTAATTAATTCTTATATCTGAAAGCTTAGAAACAGGATCAGTTAAACAATTATATTTAAACAAACTATATAGAAACAACTGCAGTGCATACAGGTCAGTTGAAGTCATTTATGAGTATTATGGGAGGATATAATTTTATTGTGACTATAGCATGCTCTCTAATTACCCATAAAATTACCTATAAAATTTCTTTGAAAATTTATTTATTCAAAGGATATCTGAAGAATTTAATATATATATAAGTAATTGTATTTTGTTGGAGTCTTTTATTATAATTTGTTTAGATGAAGTACTTTTTATTCCACTCTAAATCCTGAATTTTTAAAATATGTTTCAATTTTTTACAAAAGTAACATTTATAATGTTCTTTTCTTGCAGATAAGAATGTGCCTTTTGTTAAGAAGACTTCATCTTTCTACCATGAAGAGCAGAGTTTCTATGTTTAAGGAATAAGAAGCCACTATATCAATGGGGAGGGGTATTTAAGTCACATACATTATGACCTTTAATTTTGTATTGTTGCAATAAATGCCACAGTTTGTTTTGTTTTTTTGTATGTATGTATGTACAGAAGTGCTCTATTAATGGGCTTAACCTTAGGGATAGACTGTATTGTAATAGTTTCTCTGAAAAATTTCCTTAAAGCAGGGTTTTTTTCTCATGAGTTTTTGTTTCTTGCTTACCATATTATTATAAACTTTTATGTACTAATCAGTTAATGTTAATTAATTTGCCAATATCATATTTTAAAGAACCATAAAACCTAGCAACAGTCTAGTAAGTAAAAATCATTAAATTGTCCTTTACTGAAATATATTTCCCATTTCTGTTGGGAGAAGAAGCCAAATTTATTATGTTGTGTTTGGATTTTTTAAAATATTAATAAATTAGTATTGTATGCAATACAATATATGTGATTTAAAATTATTTTAATGTGGGGCAGACACAATATGTATAAAATATAAACCTAAAGACTATAGAATTATACATGAATACATGTATTTTATATGGATTCTAGAAAAAAACTTTCTAAGAAAGTCTTCATCTTTTAGTGACTTCCATGTATATGTACGAAATAAAAACTATGATGCCAATATTAAGTGATATAGCAAGTACAAAGTGAGATACCAGTATCTAATGTGATTAGATATTTCATACATATGTGAATTTTAAAGTCATTATATTTATTCATAAGATAGCCTGAGATAGAATTAATGACAAAATAATGGCATGGTTAAAAGCTTTAACCATGTGAGTATATAGTAGAGTGAGGAATTAAAGTAAATGCATTCACTTTGAAGACAAGGGTTTTATTAATTTTATTAATTTATTAATTTTAATAACTATTTAATTGAACCTCAGTTTTTCCCATTGTAAAAGTTAGATAATCTATAGGAAAAATGGATGGTAAACTTAGCTGCTTTCAGACAATAGGGAGGTGATTTAAATACGTGTATGAGTAAGAATGGGCTAGGATAGATACACAGTATTACAAGATAGTCCTGAATCATAGTGAATTATCACAAATATTTATTTCTCACTTATACCACATGTGTATTATGAGCTCTGATTGATTCCTCTTTATTATCATTTTTCTGGACCAAAGTTGTTGAAGAAACCATGCTTCCAACATTGTCTTACAAGTAAATACCTGGACATGATGAATTGTGTGGTACCTTATAGGCTTCTGCTTCAAGTTGATAATCTCAATTCCAACTACATTTTATTGATCAAAAACTTCTAAGGCTACTCTAGACTGCAGTAAAGCAAGGATAGATAATCCTCTATCAAGGAAGAAATTTATATTTGTCCACCCAAATGTCAAATTGGGGCTACAAATGTAGCTCAGTATTAGAATGCTTACTTAGCATGCATGAGGTCCTATTGCTTGATTCTCTGCACCAAAAAATACACGCACATATGCATACACAATGCCAAAACGGTTTTATTTATATGTCAACTGCTTGTGCACAATGAGTCATTATTTCAGCATGTATCTGTGTAGTATATAAGCAGGCACTAAAAAGGAAGACATCTCTTACTCCAAAGAGATCAGCTTTCTTCAGCTTTGATTAATAGTAACTATGAGGAAATACTTTACTAGCATGCTGACTCCATTTTTAATTTTCAAGGAAGCCAGTATTCCAAGTTTCATATATAAAATTATTCCATTTTAAATAGATATTGTACATAATGCATTGTTATTTACACACCCCCATACCTTAGGAGAAAAATACATGGAAAGATTTGGGGATAATTTGTGGATATATACAATAAATTGGAAGTTTCTGACAAGCCACTGTGTGGAACTAGAAAATTCATGTAGTTTCTTGCTGCTTAATCTTTTTAAATTAATACATATGTGATCATTTGTATCATTCAGCTTTCCTGTCAATGATACATGATACCAAGGCATCCATAGCTCAAAGGAGGAAAAATAAGTTAGCTTGTGGTTTCAGGAGATTCAGTACATGGTTAGCAGGTTCCAAAGAAGAAGCCTCATAGCAGTAGACTAATACTGGAAAGTTGTTTGGTTTATTTGGCTGAGTTGCAGAACAAGGGAACCATTCCACAAAGGAATATT